TATACTGTACAGAACATTTTGCACTTTTCCTGGGTTGAGAGGAAACAGAGAAGTTTCAATTTTTTATTATATATTGAAAGGGAGTATAAGGAAAATCCTTCTACTGCAGTGACAAGTCACGGAAATAATGTATTCTGGTGCAGTACTAAGTGATAAGATAAAAGTTACATTACCTCTGTTCAAGTAGTCAGTATGAATGAGGATTAAAAGAAAAGAATTACACACCTGGTAGAGGTCATGTCAGCTGGTGGATAACTTCTTTGGGTAGCAGTGACACAGAATAAGCTGAGGTGTCAGGGTAAAACAGAGGACTTGAATGTCAATATCAAGGACTATAGAGAACCTTTTCTATGTGCACAACATTGCTCAGACTAGTGCCCAGATGCTATTGCCTTATTCTTTGCCTGCATTTCAACAGGGCATAGAAAACCCAGAGAGGGTTTGAAGGACACCTAGGTAAGGGAGCTGAGAAACTTTCTTCAGGGTGCTCAATCGTACTGCATTTATAAAGAAAAGGAAAAAAAAAAGTTTGCTCAGCTTGTAGAGATATTTATGCCTTGGAAACACAACTGAAAATGCAAGAGGAAAGAGGTTTTCAACTTTGCTTAAAAAGACCTATCCCCAATGACCAAAACTTAACATTATGACAGTTAAACTTTGGAACAGGGCAGTATTGCTCCTCATCTAGAACAGCATACTGGAGAGGAAAATGGTCGATCACTTCTTAGATCAGACATTTTTCTACAAATAATCTTTAATCTAACTTCTTTGCAAGAAGAGTTCAGAAAAGCAGAGCAAACTCATTTGACCAGGACAGCTTCTGGCAGAGTGACACCAGCTATGAACTTTTATTTAAATATCCTTGAGCAAAGCAAGACTGACACACTTTTATGAGCATGAGAACTTTTAGAAAGTACATGGACTGAGAATTAGGCTGAATGTCATGGTCTCTTCACTTCAGTGGACTTCTCACCTGCTTATCCCATCCCTTCTGGGGTCTTGGGAAGAGATGGACTGGAAGCACAGCTCCCATAACTGCAGCACTTGGTGAAGGCAAATCCAACATCTGAGTCTCAGTCTGCAGTCCCAGGCGTAACAATTTCTACCAGTTTGCTTGAAGCCCCACAGAGACACAGGGAGCCCAGCATACAATGACTTCAGGGAAATTCAGCCCACTCCTACCTGGGCTGTAACCAGCATACACAGCATCTTGTGCTTGAGAGCTTCTGACAGCAAGGGCAAACCCCAAATACTTTGCCTCAGCATGTAACTAGAAATGGAAGGGGTGACAGTGCTCTAAAAAGGAACAGAGGCCACAGGAAGGAATGGGTGACAGGCCAGTGCAGAAGATGTCAAAACACCCTGCACCCCTGATGTGACCCAGAGCACTCTTATTCAAATGACATGACTACTTTTGCTCTTCATGGTTCATTCTGATCATCAGCAGCACAACAAACGAGGCAGCAACAGAGATCTTGCGTAATTCCACCTCTCTGTTGGGAAGGACAAAAGTCATCTTGGCAGCTGAGAGGCAGCAATTTGCAGAGCTTGTGTAGATGCACAAAGATCCTGCAGCAGTTAGTAAAATTTACTTTTTATTCTATTAGAGTAGCTACGGATTTGTTTTACCCCCAGAGATCTGGTGAGTTTTTTGTCTGGTTTGGATTTTGTTTAGGACTTTTACATATATGGATTTTTCAATATATATACATAAACACACACACATATATAATGCTGAGCAGGGACATCCTTAACAGATTGGTTTGCTTAGAGCTCCATCAAGCCTGACCTTGAATGTCTCCAGGGATGGAGCCTCCACCACCTCCCTGGGCAACCTGGGCCAGTGTTTCACCACCCTCATTGTAGAGAACTTTTTTCTAATATCTAATCTAAATCTACCCTGCTCTAGTTTAAAACCATTGCCCCTCCTCCTGTCTCTACACACATAATACCCTTGATGGCATCTTTGTCCAACTTGAAACCTTCAGACTTCCCTGTGTTAGGGGGAAAAAAGAGGAAAGCCTACTACAAGTGCTCATTTAAGAGAGGCACTGGCCACCAATTATTTCTCCTGCTCCTTTCTATGCATAAGACCATGCAACCAGTCTGTGGAATAAACCCTACAAAGCAACACTCTCAGGGAAAGTTAAGGAAAGCACTGGTTTTGGCAGCTCAGGAAGAAATCCCCCAACAGCATCTCATCTCCCATCCACCTGTTTTGCTGCAGCAGTTTCCAGTAGAATCACAGAATCATAGATCACCAGAGATCACCAAAACCAGTGCTTTCCTTAACTCTCCCTGAGAACATGCTTTGTAGGGTTTATTCCACAGACTCATTGCAAGGCCTTATGCACAGAAAAGAGCAGGAGAAATAATTGGTGGCCAGTGCATCTCTTACATGAGCACTTGTAGTAGGCTTTGCTCTTTTTTTCCCCTAACACAGTCAAAGAGAAGGCTCACAGGCAGTCGGCTCTAAAGGAAAATTCAAGCTGCAGCATCAGCCCTCCCAGGGAAGGGCACTTCACAGAATCACAGAATTGTTGAGGCTGGAAAAGACCTCTGAGATCATCAAGCCCAGCCTTTGACCCAACACCATCACATCGGCCAGACCATGGCACTAAGTGCCACATCCAGCCTCTCCTTAAACACCTCCAGGGACGGTGACTGCACCCCTTCCCTGGGCAGTGCATCCCAGTGCCTGAGCACCCTCTCCGTGAGGAAGGGCTGCCTGAGACCCAACCTAAATCTTCCCTGTCGCAGTTTCAGACCGTGTCCTCCACTCACTACAGCCCAACCCTGCAGAGCCCTCTCCCTCCTGACGCCGGTACCACATTCCAACAGATGGCCTTAGGAAATCCAGTGGGTATTATCCTCTACAGCTGGGTTCTCCCTTGAAAAAGTCCGTGTCTGGTCATTTTACGAAAGCATTTTAAGCGACATCTATGAAGGCTGAATTTGGCTTTTTTTTTTCTTCATGACAGTTATCACTGATGCTAGAATAACTAGAGCTGTTTTCCAGGCAAGACTTAAAATCTGGGTAAGTGATGATATGAGAAATTGCAAGAAAGACAGGAAACAAGCCAAAGTAATCATCAGCTGCTCAAAAACACCTTCAGAAAAAGCAGCATCGTAAACTTTTTATGTATTTAAAAAAAAAAGAGGGCATTAAAAAGCAGAGTAAGAAGAAACTAGAGAAAAATCCATACAGGTTATATGGCCAAGGAAGCTGAAGCAACTATTAAAAGAGGTGATAGCAAAATACAAACTCAGCAGAAATCCAACTGGCACATCCACACCAGCCACAAGGCTTGTTAAGGATGAACACAGAAAGGGCTTGAAAACAAAAGAAAACAGTTGGCTTTAGGCAACTGCAGTGGAAAATAGGTTGCATTTCAACAGACAATAAGCTGATGTAATACTTGCCCTACAAATACTCTCCAAAGATATAATTAAATGGCAAAAACCACTCAGATGGCACAGATTTTAAGAGATTACTTGATAACCTCTAACACAGTTCACTCCAGAGTATCTCCAGGAACTATGATGCACCAAGTAATTCTCATCAAGCCTTTACACTGAAGCACAGTCATACAGGTAAAATAAAATATTGGCTCAAGCCTGTATTTATTTTAGATGCTGGAGCCAAACTAGAATGCATTTCTCTGAATTTTAATCTGGATTTTGATTTTTAATTTTGCTATTAGAAGCAACAGAGATGCAACAGACACAACATGTGACTCGGGAGCATTTTAGGAAATTTAGAATTGTCAAGTCAAAGTAGCAGCTCAACAGTGTGCAGCCATAACAGTGTCCAAGATGGCAAAAAAGACAGGGTTAATAACCAGCTGTGTAAAACATCCGCAGACAAGGCAAACACCTCCCAACTCAAGCCCTGTGCTGGAAAGTAACGGAACAAGGCGGAAGTTGGTCCACATACCGTGGCAGTAACTCAAAGACAGTGAAGGTACCCAGAAGGAAATAGCATCACGAACTGGTGAGGTGGCAGCTCCATTCATGAGCTGAAAGCAATGTTTTGTCATAAAAACTACAGCACTTCCACTCAAATGTCATTTCCAGTTTTACTACCAGATGGGTGTGAAAAATGGAAGTCTACCAACTGTATAGGCAGAGGTCTGTGCATCTTCAGAAATAATCTCTCAGGAAAACAGGAGGTATTAAACAGAACAGCTTTACAACCACTACCAAGATTTGTCAGAGACCAACAACTACGTACGTCCTAAGCAACTGCCATCTTTTCCGCACAACTGGGCCATGCCTCAGGAATGCACCAGAATATCCGTCCTGGGAAATTTTTCACCAGCAGCTGAAGGCACACGTTAAATGTGCCAATTGTCAGAATCCTTTCAACACACAGCTCTTCAGGAAGGGATTTAGTACTAGAAAGGACATGCAAAGAGCAGCATAAGCACAGTTTGGGACAGGGGAGCCTATTTTATTTTGCCCTGAGCAACACTTGACGGTTTGGATGGGATTCAGATTCAGAATAAAATAGGCTTGCCTTCAAAACAGATTGCATAATTGGCTTTAGGTTTTAGTGCAATTTTCTTTTTAAATGGACCAAATCTTTAAGTTGCTCATAACTCGACTGCTTGAAAATAGCAGCAAACCTAACTGCCCCCAAGGAAATATATTCTTATCACCAAACTGAGACGCATAGATTGGCCAGCCAAGCTGTGATGAAGGAAACTGCTACAGCAGCATCTTGAATTAAACAGCAACCAGCAGTCCCCAGACAACCCTGAGAATTGCAGATCTAAAGGTGTGACTTCTGTTTCACAGATTTACTTTGCGTCAATCAAAACTACGTAAAACCCAGTCCTTAACATCCATTCAAAACTATGAAGGCAGAAAGGGATAGAAGCGATAAGGCATTAAGCTTTCATGCCTGTATTTTATACTTGCAGCAAAGCAAGGTAACAAAGTAATACTTCAACAGTTTGCCCAAATAAAGGTTTAAATCACCAATCCAATCTACTCACCCTTTTCACCAGTATCCAGGGAAAGTTTCTTAATGTCTTCAGTCAACGTATCCTGCAAGTGGTCTTGTCCATGCTCTGCATCGTTATCATCAAACTGCGCTTCTATAATGACATCCGGACTTTTAGCATCGCCTCTCGCCGTCTCCTGAGGAACACAAGTCCCCAGCATATCCTCGGGGACATCCGATTCATGCGTGGCTTCTGTTTCTTTGTCACTGCCATCTGGCTTTATTACCTGAAGGAGCAGGGGATTAGGAAAAAAAAAAAAAGGCAAGCAAAATCACTGGACTGAAGAAAGAAAACATTATCTTTCCTTTTTCATCTGCATCCCCAAGGAGCTGACAATGAATTGTGGGTGGCTGGTGGCACACTGCAATCGCCGCGTAATTAGCCACAGATATTGCACAATCGAAAGAGGTGCCTCATCAGGATAAGCACAGCTTTTGCAATACCTCAACTGTGACAATAATGTATCCAAAGCGTATCTAGAGCATAACCATACAGTTCCTGCCAAGCCTCTCATCGGCCCTCCAGAAGCTGGGAGTAAGCACAGCAAGGGAGGAGGCCGCACGACCGTTTAATGAGTTGCTTAGACCATTGTTCACCAAGACATGCTAATCATCCCAGGAAGTCCCAAAACTCAAGCAGTTCCAGTGAATGCTGGGTTCATGTCAAAGCACATCTCCAGGAACGCTCCCCAACACACAATTAGGAACAGACTGAAAAAGTACAGACCAGAGAACACCGTGCCCTGCGACCCGTGGGGGAACTGGACTGCGGCAGCTTGGTAAGGCACCAAGCTTTAAACTTACTTCAGGCTCCAGTCTTTTTGTTAAAGGCACGCAACTATCGCTGTTACTTATACAAGCCTAATTAAATTACCGAGAGTAATGAACTCAATTAAAGTACAAATTACTTAACCGTTAGCTAACTGATAATTCAGATAAGTAACTCTGAACACTGCTACAGATTTGTCCCCACTTCAGTGCAGCGATGGCACAGGGAGAGGAGAAACCATATGTGCAATCATGTCAAACAAAATCATGATGAACCCATGCCCCAGTAAAGAAGACATCAGACCTGGATGGCAACCCTCCTCGCATGTGACAGAGACAGAAATGGCTCCATCTCTGGATATAATGATCAAAATGGTTGGTATCTTGGATACATACACCTTTACCAGCACCCTCCATGCAACCAACAGCGAGTTGCAGCACTTACCTGGCATTGGAACCTAGAGCCACGTTTTCACTTCAAAAGCGTTTGAGTTGCACTTCAAATCACCATGGAATAAGAAATACCCTACAGAACATTAAAATCAGAAAGAAACCGAGTGACCCCATTCCAACGCCCTCCCAGCAACTGAGCTCCTCTCCAGCTGGTGCTGGTGGTCACTGCACAGGAAACGCCCTGGAGATGCTCCTCCAAGGTCCCCCGTCCTCAGCACTGTCCCCAGTGCATGACAGCAACTACTTGTGCCACCAGCAAGGCAAGTGAAGGGCCCTTAAAAAAACACAATAAAAAAAAAATCCCTGACTTTCTGGTAACATACTTAGTGTGATAGATATAGTCACGAGAAGTAAGCATAAACAGCTTCAGCAGGTCCTAGCTGAAGATAACCATTCCAAGTAAGAAAAACACAATCTAAAAAGCTCCACAAATTATTGTTTAGTAAGTAAAGTAAAAAGCAAATAGATCAAATCAGGCCTGAACAGGGAAGACTTTCACAATTTTGCATGAAAATATGACTGTACCTCTGTTTATGGAGAATCCATTTCTTCATAATCTTTTCACAATACATAACAGAAATAAAACCAATTTTAAAACAGGCCTGAATTCAAGTCTTTAAAAAAAGACAACTCAGATGACATTACTTTGAACTCTTGTTACCTTTTGTGACTTTGCTTTCCATCTTTATTTTCATTTTTTAATATGTATATAATTTGTTTCCATAGCAGATTTTGACTCAAACATTAAATTGTGACAAAAAGGGAAAAAAAGTTTGGCAGAGGGTGGGGAAAATGGCCGATTGTTAAACCTGGCTCCATTTGGTACATAAAATCCTGACACACAACGGTCTGGGCAAGAACAGTCTATTAGATTAGAGAGCTGACAAGGCTCCACATGCTAGTGACTCTGCCAGCGTGCTTATCCAAAACGAAAACCAGTGTCAACAGTAATGTTTGGACACTACCGTGGTCAGATGTGGATGTATTCAGCTCTTAAATTTCAAATGCACCAGATGTGTGCAAGTGTGCAACTGCAGCAGGAGTTCATTTTCTTCAACCCCTTCAGTCTCTGCCTGAGTTTCTTTCTCTCCAAGTTGTCCTTTGGAGAGTGAGAAATGTTTCGAGTTCTAAACTACAGAGCGTTCTATACGTAATACAGTGAACACCAAATATACCTGAATGACAGGGAAAGCTTTCCTAACAATGCAGCACTGAAAAGCTTATGTTGCATGAAAAAAGGCAGCTGATATGGATTTCTTATTTTAAAATGCTATGTGCTAAAATTGCCCTGCTTCCCCCAAGCTAGAGGACACACGCTGCTGTCACTAGCTAGCTGGATACTCCAGCGGGGACTACCTAAGCCCCAAGTCACACATTTCCTTATGGATTTTTAAGTAAAGTTTTCCAGAGTCCACAAAATCACAGCCCCCACAGAGCATAGAGCAGCTAAACGTCCAGATGCTGGCAAGCATGGGCAACAGTTTTTGTTTTCTTTTTAAGGCCAAGACAGATCATTTAGGCTGACCTCATACACAACAGAGCAGGGAATTTCACCCTAGATTTTTTACATCACACCAAAAATTTAGGGAAGCTGTACATCACAAGACTGGAAAGCTGCATAAGACTTTACAAAATCGGGAGCTCAACAGATACAATTACTCTGTTTAAGATGATCAGGGTTGCTGGCCAACATGAGCTCATCACACAGATTCCAAAGAGCAAGAGCCTTCTATATATGAGCAGCAGAAAATTGACCATGACAGAATAAGCATTTTTTACATGCAGCATCTTGGAAACCAGAAACAGATGACACTGCACTCTCCTATTTCTTACCACGCCATCGAAGCTCATACATGACATAATGCATACGGCTAGAACATATCGGCACTTATCAGAGACGCGGAATAAACCAAAGGCACAATTGGCTAAGTCTGTCACACAGTCAGATGTGCAGTACCGAGCATCATTCCCTGCCAGTGCAGCTGGCTCTGCGTGGACCCAGAAGGAGGAGATTCCCCCTTGCTGTGTGTGCATGAAATGTATGACCCTGCTACTATGCAAACATCCCAGGATATATAGTTAAAAAGCCCCTTAAAGGACCTTAACCTCCTGACCTGGGAAGTCAAATGCCAACCTTATGGTTGTATCATCTTCATACGCTCTTTAGGAATTAGAAAAAAATAAATTAATAAGCATTTTGATGAAAGTCAATTGCTTATTTGAATGTCTGATCCTTAAGATAGTGTCTGAATAATTTTTCTCCCAACTTTAAACAAACTGAACAAGCATCAAGTTTCTGCCCAGCAGTGATTGGTTTGTAAAGTCATAGCTGACTGAACACAAAATCTTTGAATGAAAATCCCATTTCAACCATAAATATAATAAAAAACAGCCAGTGGGCAAGAACATCTTGGCATGGATACGTACAATCTGGACAGGAGAGCAATTACCTCGCTGCATCCAGGCCAGTCTTGAAGTAGCCATCAAATGAACAACTGTCCTTACTCAGGAGGAATCTGTTCCAACAGAAAACTGAACCGGGAATCTGTGCATCTGAAAGCACAAGGGTTACCTCCTGAGCTGCAGGAGAAACTGCTTTCTCTGCCAGAAGCAATCTTATACCTGCCCTGTTAGTTGCAAGCTTTTCACCGACTTTCCACCTAAGTCTCATATCCACACATGGACAAAGTCCAGGCCAGTTCGCCCTCAGGTCAGAAAGGGGTATTTTGTTGCTGCCTCCTAGGTGGCAAGAGTTAACACCTCACACATTAGTCTATAATCTCAAACTGCTGAACTAGACCAAGTGATTTTCAATCACCTTCGAGCTATTAACCCCCAGGCCTTTTCCAATAAATGCACCAAGCCCCCAAAGTGTTTAAGCCTAACACTGACAGGTTTGCTTTTCTTCCTTATTCACTTCTGACCCTTACAAGCCTTCCATGAATCCTTGTAGATCTGAAGATGAGACATGGAAGACTGCTGGATCACCTTTGCTACAGCTGTTTTGGACACAGATTCAAGGAAAATTAAATCGTTCATTCCACTGAGAATGCTGGTATTAAAGGGAGAATTTTCATAAGAACACTGTGGAAGAATGGAGATGATCTAGCACAACACCTCTTCTCCATCAGTCAGTCAAAACACAGCAAAATGCCTCATAAAGAGTAGCCAAACCCAAAATACGTAACTTATCTGAAAGATTTTAGAAGTGACAAGCCATTAATTCTACCTCTCCTCGCTGGGGCAGCCCGATGACGCATCAAGAGGCTCCTCACGCTGCTATAGAAAGGTGCTCGCATTAAACAATGAAAACTTGTGACCAAGCCTGACTTCTGAGGTTTGCAAACCAAGGTAAGGTGCCCTTCTTCTGAAAAATACTTTGGTCAACCCCAAGTTCTGCTTTAGCTATAGACAAGTTATTATGCTCCATCCTGGGTAGGGAGACAAAGCTTAGCTCAGTCATTGGACCTCTCTGCAACTGAGCCTTAGTTAAGCAACGAGTCTGAGAAACAGAAACAGGCTGAAAATGGTTATTTCAAAAGGAAGACAGCTGAAAACAGGGGCTTTGGACCATATTACCATCTCACTATTAAAAAGACCGTTGCTACCACAACACTAATACAAACACCACATTTCATACCAATACTGTGAACACCTGCATGTATTAGTCTCCCAGCTCTTGCCATATTAAACAGGCTTCACTTAAAAGCTGGTTCCTTAATGTTCGCTCACGAGGGAGTAGGAACGGAGCCTGGCTAACACAAGGATGCTGTCACAGCTCACACATACCTGTTTAGAGCCAAGCTACCATAAATATTGCAAGAAAGAGCTTTGCTTTTCTGAAAAGAGCAACCAAACAAAGGCTGGCTCGCTCTAGCTTCTTCTTGGATAAAGGATGGCAGTTCCAATAAGAGAAAAAACACCTGTCCCAATCACCCTTCCTTCTCTTTGTAATCTCATGTACACCAAACAGCTCTGGCAAACATCACAATGCAGTAAAGGTGAC